TCCCTGCCCTTCCCCATTCTGGGTACTATGAAACATGTTTTAAACCAAGACCATTTTACCCTGAAAGAGAATTTTAATCCAAACAAAGTGAGTTACTGATGCACTGAAATAGAAAACTATACCTAATTTCTATTAACACATTGCAGTTTCCTAAGACTTGAAATAAGTGAAATAGGAATGTTTTGAGAATCTAGACTAAGGTTCAGAAAGAGCCTAGCCATACACCATTAATTGCTGTTAATATTCCAGGTTGCTATTCAAAATACGTTGGGACTGATTAGTTAGGATCCTGCATGTAACCTGTTTTTGTATAACAGTGCGAAGTGGATATGATGGAAAAAGCTGCTCATTCTGGTTTGTTAGCATTTACACAGGTATAAAGGGGCAGCACAACATGTACAACTCCAAGCCCATGGGAAAAAAAACGTCATTTAGTAGATAACTATCTCATATTCTCTTTGTGCTGGTAGGCAATATGATGCGTCTAGGGCATGTGAGACCAGTGATGTTGTATCTATGGCATGCAGGAGAGGAGAAGAACACAAATCTTAACTGTAAAACAGAGTCTCTAGTGTAAATATATTTAGCACTTGGGTAAAGGCTTGCTTTGAAGTGCTGTACAAGCATTAAGAAATCTGCCCTCGTAACTTTGTGACATAAGCCAAGCCTGGCTGGGAATGAGGCAAGTAATCAACTGGAGGGCTATGTTGTACCTTGCAGAAGGAGAACGAAGGACTCCAGAAAACTCACCAGCATTGCTCGGAGATTTCCTGTTGCAGAAAAGTAGAGGCGCAGATTCATCAGGTCACTTGCCCTTTGTTGGGTCTAGAATCATGCCCATAGACACTGGACCTCTGTTGTGTCCTGTTGTGGTGTTCAGCAGCAGTCACTGGCTTCTACACTATGCAAGGGTTCAGTAACTGTTATGTGGCAGAGCCAAGAGAAGCTAAAACTACACTGGCAAACATGAAGCCTTGCAGAGATTCAGTGGGATCCAAAAGGGAAGAAACTACAAAGTGCAGTTGTTCCCCATTCCTGAGATGTCAGGGTGTGTAAACCACATGAAGTAGCTCTGGTATTAGGGAGTAGGGGTCACATTCTCCTTATAGACTTGGATTCCTTCTATTAGCATTTGGACTTACTGTTTGCCCTGTACACCAATGGCAAAATAACCACATTTTTTCTTTTGTTGTCTTTCTCTTCTCTTGGTGCATAGAGACTTTCGTTTATAACATTTACAACACACATGGGTCAATTGATACAGAGTTTATGGTTTTACTAACAATGGAATAAGCAGGAGTGGAGTGTGAAGGTGGAATATTGGGTGTTAAAGAAAAAGCTGATGCACATGCATAGGGCAAGAGGTTTTGAGGTTTTGGTTTTTTTGGTTCTGCTTGTCAGAGTGTTACTGGATGTGGCTATATTCTCCACTAGACCATTTTAGGCTGGACATGAGAAAAAAACTCTTTAGTGTCTGAGCCCCCAAGACCTGGAATAGACCCTCCAGAAGTGGTGCAGGCACCTACTCTGGACTCATTCAAGAAACACTTGGATGCTTATCTTGCTGGGATCCTTTGACCCTAGCTGACTTCCTGCTCCTGGGGCAGGGGGCTGGACTTGATGAACTTCGAGGTCCCTTCCAGCCCCAACATCTATGAAATCTATGAAAAGATGTTGGATCTTTTGTTAAATACAAAATTGCTGTTTAATTTGCTTTTGTTCTTTCACTTAAACCAAGATTTAAACTAGAAAATACAAGCTCTCACAAAATATGCACAGTTATCTCTTGTTTTCAGGGTTATTCTTATCTCAGCAGCTGCACTAGAATCTAAGAAGTTTAGTAAAAATTAAAGGGAAAGGAGGAGTCAAAGAATGACCTTGGAAATGTAAGACCTTCTTGCAAGGAAGAAGGTCTTATGACTTAAAATTAATTCCAACCATTTCTTTGTTGTTGCATTCTGTTTGACTAGTATCACATCTTACTCCAGTTAGCCTTGTAAAAGACCTGAAACATTTCTTAGCTTTTTTCCTACCTTTTTTGCAAGGAAGCTTTTAACCACTTCTTAAATGTCTGTATCTGAAACTTCCAGCACCTGTTGGCCAGAAAAGAAACGGTTATGTGTATCTGGAAAATTAACAGAAAAGGCAATAAGATGAGTCTGAAGCAGAAATAGAAAGAATGTGTGGGTCCGATTCCTTTTATCTAGCAAGAATTGCTGGTATGATTCATATAGTTGCCCTGAATATAATACCAGAGTTCTTGGTAAGCCATATGTCGGGACCCAGGGCAGCCGGACAGCAGCTCTCCCTGACTCCCACCCGGGCAGTTAAGGGTTCTTCAGGTGGGTACTTGTGACGCATGGAGTGGAATTAATTAGGCGGACGCTTATCGGTTGCAAAGCAAGATTATTTACTCACGCCGTCAAGGTGGTGAAAGACGGAGGTCAGATATACTTAGTTAGTTACAGCTTAGAGTTCGTTCGGTCGTTCTGCAGACATATACGGGCCGGCTTATCGGGCATGCGGGTCAAGGGTACGCCAGGGAGGTCGCGGCGGGAAGACGCTGACAACTGATCAAATTGTCAGATTTACTCCAAGGTGCGGACCAAGTTGTCTTTCCCTTTGGCGCAAATGTAGCAGGGTTTTGTTTGTATGATAGCCAATTGTTTTTCGCCACGTCAAAAATTTAATTAGAATTGCCAATTATCTCTAGGGATTTGTAGCAGGGCTATCCCTTTTCACCCTGACCAATCATAAATCATGGGCTAAGTTTCGTTTCTTGTTAGTGTCGCAGTTAAATCTCTTCTTGACATGCGCAGCAAAAAAACTGTTACTATCTTCTTGTTGGTTAACTCTTAGTTAACCTAGTGCAGACTAAAACTGTTTTGAATGGTTTTACTTGTTTGTGACATGGGCACTACTTAATTTGGTTTGACACACCATAGAGTAGCCAAATGGGTGAGGGTTTTAATCTTACCAGCTTTGTTCTTGTAATGCAGGAAAAAAAAATTATTCTGTTAACATAATCAGGAAGGATAGTTTATGCATTGTTTGAAGGGCAATGCTTCAGCTAGATGATGAATCTCATGCAATGCAATAAGGACAAGTTTAAAGTCCTGCACTTAGGACAGAACAATCCCATGCACCAGTACAGACTCGGGGCTGACTGGCTGGGCAGCAGCTCTGTAGGAAAGGACCTTGGGGTTACAGTGGACAATAAGCTGAATATGAGCCAACAGTGTGCCCTTGTTAACAAGAAGGCTAATGACATACTGGGCTGAATTGGTAGGAGTATTGCCAGCAGGTCAAGGGAAGTAATTATTCCCCTCTATTTGGCACTGGTGAGGTCACTGGAGTACTGTGTTCAGTTTTGGGGCCCCCATTACAGAAAGGATGTGGACAAATTGGAGAGAGTCCAGCAGAAGGCAACAAAAATGGTGAGGGGGCTGGGAGACATGACTTATGAGGAAAGACTGAGGGACCTCGACTTGTTTAGTCTAGAGAAGAGAAGACTGAAAGGAGATTTAATAGCAGTCTTCAACTACCTAAATGGGGGGTTCAAGTGTGGATAGAGCTAGACTGTTCTCAGTGGTGGCAGATGACAGAACAAGGAGCAGTGGTTTCAAGTTGCAGCAAGGGAAGTTTAGGTTAGATATTAGGAAAAATTTTTTCACTAGGAGGGTAGTAAAACACTGGAACAGGTTACCCAGAGAGGTGGTGGAAGCTCCATCCTTGGAGGTTTTCAAAACCTGGCTAGAAAAAGCTTTGGCTGGGATGATCTGGTTGGGGATGGTCCTGCTTTGAGCAGGGGGTTGGACTAGATGACCTCCTGAGGTCCCTGCCAACCCTGATTTTCTATGATCCTTACCTCAGTCTGACATCCTTGGAAGTCTGCTGAGAGGATAAGCAGTAATTCTAAGTAACGGCAGACATACAGACATACAGTCTAGAGCAGCACTATAACTGAGGTTAGAGAAGTTCCCACCAATTTGTTTTGTATGGTTTATCCAAAAATCAAATAACTTTTTTATGGCTGAAGTTTCACATTCGAAAACACTAAGAAATGTCAATAAAAATTAGGAGAAAAGCAGTACTTACCTACTCCTTTTGTAACATGGCAGTTTTACTTACAGGGCACTGCTCTAATGGATTATAGTCGCCCATAATCAGCAGGCAAGTAAGTTTTGCTTCCCCCCCCCCTTATAATTTTCCAGTTTCTTGAGTAGGAGCCATAGTGTTTTGCATTTAAGCTGTATGTCCCAAGTGTCCTAGTTGGACCAATCTAGGAGAAACCCAGACTAATTCAACCTCTAACTTCTAGCTGGTGTCTCTAGCTTTTCAGCATCCACTTTGTGTCCTGGTTGTCTCTGCTGAATCGCTCTCATTTGGCCAGATGGTTGGTTTCTTCCTTGCCTTCTTGTTAAGGTGTCTAAACTTTGTACTCAGTTCCGCTCTTCTCCCCACTGAAATTCCCCACAGAGAGGGTTAAGAAGGAGTCCTGGTGGGAAACGTTAATTAAAGAACAAAAGAAGTCAGAGAGAGAGATGGATAAGAATATAAGAAGGAATAGTCACTGATGCAGAAAAAACAGCTTTGTGAGGTATGTTCTGAGAAGTTAGACAAAATAGGGAATTGAAAGGATGGAAGGGATGGGGAAGAAGCAGAAATGAAGGGTATGGGATAGAATTAATAGGAAGGAAGAAAAGGAATAAATGAAATACTGGAGGTGGGTGGGAGTTTAGAAACTGTGAAGACAGATGTAATTAGTGACAGAGGATAAATAAATTGGGAGAGGAAAATAATTGAGGGTACTGGAAGGAAATGCGATAAGGGAGACCTGTTAAAATAACAAGAAGATTTAAGCAAGGGCAAGGATTTTTTTCTGGGGGGACTGATATCTTTTATTAAATCAATTGCCTGGTTGGAATAAAAGTTAGACAAGCTTTTGAATGCAAGTCCTGATGAAGAATATCAAAAGCTTGTCTAACTTTTTTCCAGCCACACAGCTCGTCTAATAAAAGTTATCACCCCCAAAAAATCCTTGCCTTGCACAGATCCTGGACCATCACAGTTACATCACTCTGATGCTACCAACATTTTCATATTGAGCCCAGGAGATTGAACGTAGAAGACTTCTATAGTTTAGTCTACTGATGGGTTGGACTTTCCAGTGATCACTTTGGAACTTTAAAACTCACCTTTAAAGTTTTGGGCATGAATAGATGCAATTTTTCTCAAGCTTTTTTTTTGCTCCTCTGTAGGCAGATTTAGTGGCTTTTCAGATGGTTCAGACTTCAGTCACTGATTGTCACATGAACTGACTATCTCCAGGGAGGTTTCATCTGGCATTTTCTCCATGTAATTATCCAGAGCAGCCAGTTGAATAGGGCAGCACACTTTGCTCACCACTTAGCAGTGGCAGCAGGGAAGAGAAGAGGCAGATAAAATGTCTGGAAATATGAAGTCTTTCATATGCATGCATTTTTGCATATTGAAGACTGATAATGGCTTTGCATGTTTTATGCATAACATTATCAGTTTGCACATGTCTATGTTGCAAGTTCAATCTAGGCATGAGGGTTTCAAATTTATCCCAGCAAAGCCAGATATAATATAATAATGTTTCCCCTGTTTATGAAATAGGACTGAACTTGGGGACAAATTATGCATTCCTTGCTCAGAAATAATTCCTGTTGAAGTCAGCAG